CTAATATTATTATCAGTTTTTCTTGGAATAAAATTTTCATTTTTCGAATGATTTGCATGAAGTTTATCACATAATGATCGATCTGTACCTTTTGGAAAACGACTTTCTTCATCAATCAATGCAATTATATTCATAGATTTGATTGCAATTAAATCAAGTATACGTTGATTATCTTCAAATGCAATATGTTTCCAATTAATATGTTCATTATTATATTCTTCTTGTTCAAGTTTAAATATATGATGAACAAAAAATTGTTGTAAATTTTCATTGGCATAATTTATACATAGCTGTTCAAAACTATTTCGTTGAAAATTTTCAAAACCAAATATATCCAATATACCAAGACTAGAAAAAATTCATTTTTAGACTTATAAATATGAACATTCTAGTGTATATTATGATGATTGACTACATTAATACTGAATGCATGGAGTTATTGTCAACTCATTAAACTAAAATCATTTTCTTTTTCAGCAGTTACTAGGGTACGGCGGTTCCAAAAAATAATGGAGTCGAAAACCAAACCGGAACTGAGTTGAAACCACTCTTTTTTAGTTTCTACTGACCGGAGCTGGACCGGAACCGCGGTTCCGGGTAATTTTTGGAGCCGCCGTGCTATAATCTTGAACATGTCATTTTGTAAAGTTTTCTGATTGTTTTACTCACTCTTGTACGTTATGAAAGATATGCTTTTTCAAATAAATATCATGCGTCTTTAATTTAAATCATTTTAATAACTCAAATTTTTTGAAAAAAAAGATTCGTATTTGTATAATACTTTATTGGATCCGTTCCCGGTTCTACATTGTATTCTAGGAATCGAACCGAAACCGCTCCTTTCTCATTTCTAATAACCGGAGCCGGGCCGGAACTGCGGTTCCGGATCCGATTTTTGGAACCGCTGTACTCTAGCCGAACTTCTTGCGCCTGAGTTCTTACTTTTATTAGAGGAGTATTTAAATTTTTTCTTGAGTTGACCGCATGAAACACTCAAGCAGTATGGACATGTGCTGAAGTTTGTATAGGTCAAGTATGAAAAAGAAAATTTCGTCTAGAGTATCTACTTGTCAATAGTCTATAATGATATATGGTTGATTATGTAAATTTCTATAGATTTTATGATCTATCGAAAAGTTCGATTGTTTTTTAGTATGACCATTTATCATAAATAAACTAGGTCTGTTTATTTTCTAAGTCATTACCTTTTTCGATATGCTGATGGATCTTTCGGTTTAAAAATAGCTGAATTAATTTTTTCAACAATCCAAATGAACATCTTCCCATAAATTCCTTTTACAAATGCATCACTAAAATTTGAAAAATAAAAAAAAAGACCCAATAATTTTATATCTATTCATACCGAACATCAAAAGCTTGTTGTTGACTAAGAGGAGTAACAACTGCTTCACCATGAGCAAAAATTGTTCGCTTCAATAATCCATCTCGAAGACCATTATCATCAAGCTTTAAAAATCAATACAATATGAAATAGTAAATATTTGAATTCTTACTTTGAGTAATTTCGAAACAGTTCGAAGTACATTTATATTAGCTACAGTACATGTATCCATATTTTGAGTTGTTGTTGCTAAATAATTAATTATTTCATTTGTTTATAAGAAATTTTATTAATCCTACCTTGAAATTTTACATTTCCCAAATGTAAAACAGCTGATAATAATCTCAGAATATCATTTAACTCATCATCACTAAACATTAAAACTTTACAAGCACTTTTTATTGTTGACCATTCTTTTCCATCATCTCGACTATCACAATAAATCGTACCATCAAGCTTAAATATATTCAATTACTAATCCATCGAAAAATTATTAAATTTTATAATACCTGATTAAGATAAATATAATCACTAGCTGTTGTTAAATCTAATATATGTTTTTCTTCTTTCGACATTCCAGCTAACATACAATAAAAAACATGATAATTTCGTTCATCACGAGCCTAGAAAATATAAATTATGGTTTTTCTTAACTTATAAAATCAATAATAAGACGAACTTGTGACACAATACGAGATTTTTCTAATAAATATTGTTCAATTTTCGCACCTTCAATTGCACCTCGTTTATCAAAATGTATATCAATATATTTTCCAAAACGTGATGAATTATCATTTCGAACTGTTTTTGCATTTCCGAAAGCTAAAACAAAAAATTAAATTTGTCTCCAATAGGAAAAAAACATTTTTTTTACCTTCAAGAATTGGATTCGCATCGAGTATTTGCTGTTCAATCCATGAATGTTGTCCACTAGTTGCTGCCAAAAATTGTAAAGTTAATTTGGTTGATTCTGTTTTTCCACTACCACTTTCACCACTTATAATAATACATTGATCATGTTGATAACGTTGCATACTCCAATATGCATTGTCACCAATCGCAAATATATGTGGTTGTAATTCACCTATTTTTTTATTTGAATATTGACGAATATTATCAATATTATATATATTTAATAATTTATATGGATTAACAGCAACTAGAATTGATCCGGTATATGTCTAGAAATGAAGATATATATATTTTATTGGAAAGAAAAACTAAATAAAACATACATAGATTTTATCTTCTTTATAACGCATATGAAGATTATGAAGTATAGCAGATTCTTTGAGATCTCCTAATAGAATCATATCATCTACACCTTCAACAGAACTAATATGCATTGAACGAAATTTTGTTTGAATAGGAAAATGAATTTCCTGAAATAAAAGAATATGTATATATATTTTAATAAGTATTGAAAATAGAAGAATTACTTGGTCATTATCATCTATGAGAAGAATTTGTCCGGCTTGTGTAGCGACCACGCGAGCACCAATTTCGACATTGAACTCGCTGCCGGTACGTTGATCGACCCACACATGATCACCCTAGAAACAGAAATTTATTCTTTAGAATATAATCAAAATTTTTTCATTATAGGCGACCTGTAGAAAGTAGTTGCTTATCGGTATCGATGGCATGACTTTTCTATTCGTTTTAATTCAATCTATATGATTTAACGATAATCATCATCATCATATTCTCATCTATTTACTCATCGTATATACGAAAGTAAGCAAACGCGTGTATATGTATACTTATTGAAAATCATAGGTCCTGCCCACTATGTATACAGAGAAAGGGAGAGAGAGAGAGAAAGTATTATTCATGCAGAATTACGATATACGTATGTGTTCATCTATTGACATTCTCTCTCTCGCGTTCTATACTACATCGTCTCTCATTTTATATCCATCATAATAATCGTTTATGATTGATGGTCGAGAGAACAGACTTTATCTTGTTCGAATTTTTTTTACTATACACTCATTAACACGCAAATTCGAACAAATAATTATAATAACCATAAAAAGACCGAAAATGACTCGATCTTTTTTTCTTCATCTTAACTAACCGCCGTCAAACAAATATTAGTATCAAGATTGGCCGATGTTTATTGTTAAATGATGTTCATTTTTATAGAAAGATATATTTTTTTTCACTACACATCAGTGTGTGTGAATAAATCTAGATCAACATTGAACATCAATATATACATAAGAGAAAAAAAAGAGGAAGATGAGAAATTTAGAGAATGAGCACACGTCAGCAAGCAAGCGAACATTGTCGTCGACAACGACGACACATAGTTTGCTAAGAGATCAATTCTTTACGCAGACAACTGCATGAATGATGTAAGATATAATGAAATATGGGAGATATTTAATTATAAATCAAGGTGGAATACATTGAATATGATTTTAGATTAACAACTATCGATAAATATATAAACGAAATCATTTAACTTACTTTTGATACGCTCACCATTCAGCATAAACCTAGAACAAAAAACAAAAAAAGAAATCGAAATATAATAATATACAATTTAAATTTTTATAGAAATATAAATTGAATGTTATTACAAGAAAACATATGAAAGATATAGAAAAAATGAAACTAGTATTAGAACATACACAACTAGAGATTATATATAATATTTTCTTCGTTTTTCTTCTTTCAGGTATGTATATGCTCTCATGCCCGACCGCTAAAAGGTAGTCAACTGCAAGGAGTGGTTCTCTTCTTCTTCTTCTTTTCTTCTCGCGAACACTATATAGCGTTTTTTTTTTATTTGAATAAAATCTTCTCCCGTCTCCTGCATACATATGTATATGTGTTCGTTTTGCGTTCTTTGTCTGACCACAGCAATAGCTGACCAAAATGTAATCGATGTACAGGCTCGCCTTTATGCTGTCTCTTTACTCGCTTTTTTTTTTCTTCTATTATTATTCTTGTACTGGGCCCAGGTAAACGAAAGAAAAAGAAAAGAAAAGCAAGAGCGAATGGACCTTTCTTTTTATTCAGACAAATAATGTAGACAGCGTCACAATCACGAACAAATTTTATCATCTGATCTGTCAACTTGCATGTCATACCATTTTCACCTTACTTACTCTTCGATTTGTTCTAATGTCTATAGAGAAATGTTTACTACAATGTCCAAAGTAAAAAAAATGAGAGAGAGAGGGGAGAGAGTAAGTGAGAGTGAAAGGAATAAAGACGACAAGTACTTCATCGTCTCAATTGACACATCAAAAACAGATCAACGATCAATATCGACCTTCTTTACAAAGCTAATGGTTCTCAATTTTCTTTTCAACGAACATGAAAAGAAGACAGCTGTAGCGTGCCATTGATTCATAAGATTATATGCATGAAAAACGACTGGATCAAGGTTTATTTTTTTAGAGAATAATATCTACCTGTTTACATCGATATTTAATTTTCAATGTTAAATAAATACGAAAAGGATTTTCTGCTATATAATTTTATTTTTAAATATTTGCAACTAAATCCTAATCAGTTAGCATAAACGATAGTCGGAACTTTTCTATATGGATAAACGGAGAGATGTCGCTAAGTATTCTTCGTTTTTTGATTGGATAAAAATTTTATGAATTACAATATATTATTTGAATATCATTTCGAAAAAATGTCTTTTTGTGAACTTCGTATACCTGTTGATTCAAATACAACAGAAAATATACTTTCAAAAATATTAATTACATGTTCGGATCTTCGTTATGATCGAGTTGTTCTTTGTCAAACAGATAATTTACGTGCACCAACTTCAAATAATTCATCATCATCAAAAAAAAAGAAACGTAAATTAAATGAAACAGAAGAAACATCGATTGTACCATCATCTGCATGGACATGTCCAAAACCTTTTGTTGCTCGTATACCTGATTTAATAACTCAACGATGTCGTCAGACAAATCGTCAATTTCGTCTCTATTCACGACTGAATGTTATTGTACATGATAATCAATCATTACATTATTTAAAACGTGCAGAAGTTCAACAAAATTTTGATTTAATTTCATTACAACCAGCAACACGTGATATTCTTATGTATTTACTTACTGCAACAACAATACAATATGAATTAATTGTTCTTGATCCAAGTGATCCCGAACTTCTTCCATTTCCATCAAAATTGATGCGTGCAGCATCTGAACGTGGTATTACATTTGAATTGATTTATAGTAATGCTTTACGTGATTCATTTGAACGAAGAAATTTACTTGCATTTGGTCGATCACTTGCTACAAATATTTTTAAACATGGTCAATCAATTATATTTAGTTCAAATGCATCAAATTCATTACAAATTCGTTCACCTTATGATATGATGGAAATCGGACAATTATTTGGTTTTAATGAAGAATTATCAAAAAAAATAATCAATCAAAACCCCATGGATGTTTTAGCAAGATCTTTTAGTCGAAGAAAAACTGTACAAGGAACAGTATGGTTAGATACAGAAAAAGATAATAAACAACAAACAACAATAGAACCATTTGTAGCCACTGAAACTATTACTCTTTGATAAATTAATGTAATTCTTCGATTTTGTTTTGTTTTTTTCTATCATTGTTATTGGTTAAACATGATATAATTTCATCGGTTTATTAGATGAAAACGGATTTGAAGATAAATAACTGAATTATATGGCGGGATATAAATTATTTAAGAATATGCTTTGAATGGAATAACATTTTGGTCTTTTAGTAGTATTCGTTATGATTAATGCATGATTTTAGAGAATTCTATTCCAATCATATAATTATAAATGTGAATAAAAAGCAGGATTTAACTGTTTCGTTGCAACAGATTCATAACGAAAAGAACTTCACCGTTTCTAACCATATAGATAGATAGATCTTACTTCTAGATAATAAACAATCCAAATAATGATAGGACTAATGCAATAATTCTGAATTTCTCAAACATATTTTGATAAGTATTTCATTTCTAATTTGAAATTATCTTGTTTTCTATGACTGCAGTGAATCTATGATGAGTGGAAAACTTAAACATAATATCAATCAATTACTTTTAGTTATTAATTAATTTTAAAAGATTGTTTTATTTTATAATTCTAATACTTTTTTAATTCTTAACCAAATACATTCATTCAAATCACTACCAGTCACTTCAGTTAATATATTTGATGCTACTTCTCTACTAAATAGATAACAATGCATTGAATTTGTGGTCTTATTCAATGTAATACTAAACTCAATCAACCAGATTCTTATTTTTCGTTCATATCGTTTAACTATTAGAAATCTGATCAATATTTAGCTTATATATTCAATGATATCATCTAGACAAAGTTATTAGACAAGAAAAACTGATAAATTGAGTGAAATAACTAATTGTCTATATGTTGTGTTTACGTGTATCGAACGAAGAAATCAAACTATAAGTTGTCGTCAACGATTAATCCTTTATTTAGACCATGTAGTAATAGTGATAGTGACAAGCGAAAAATGTTAATCAGACCAAACAGCAATTAGTTGACGAGATGAGCTACAGACGAACGAACGAAAGAGAAGAAGAAGAAGAAGAAGAACCAATGTTATTTTTTTGTCTCGTTTACTCGTCAAAAAGAAGGCGAGGACGAGTATTGTAACACACATGATTATGGAATTGGACGATTGCATCACGAAAGATTGTTCTACTATTTATCGTTTTCAATTTGCAAGTATCGCTTTTATATGTGGTGTTTATCTCCCATTTACATTTCATTCCAATATATGGTCACTTTACACACAACCATTTAAACCTATTAATTGTACAACAATAAATAATATAACAACAAGACTATTACCAGTTATATCAATAAAAACTCAGAATCGATCTGAATGTTGTGGATGCAATGGATTATTTAACGGAAGTATCAGTGATAAACGTTTATTAAAACTTTGTCAAGAATGGATGGGAAGTTTAAATGATGTAGACGTGCGAAAAGCAACTATTATAGATGAAGTAAGCGAAATTTGATTTTTTTAAATATTTATTCTATGGAATTTTATTTAATAGTGGCATTTAGCATGTGGAAGAGAGAATCGTAAAAATCTCATGTTAGGTTCAATCTCATTTTTAATTGCCGAAATCATTGGTGTTATCATTATTGGCATTTTAGCTGATCAATACGGAAGAAAACTAATGCTTCTCATGTGCCTTTATATTCCGATGGTATATATGCATATTTTCTTCGTATGTTTTATTATTTTCTTTTGCAGCTTTTCGGATCCTTAGCTGCGTTTACAACTACTTATTCTTTATTTATTATTCTTCGTTGTCCTGTCGGATTTTTAAATAAAGTAATTTTAATTTCTCTATAATATTCAAACAATTCATATTTACGAAAATTCTAGGGTCTGCTATTACTTGGTTTTATTATGGTTATTGAATCATGTGAATATAAACATCGAGCACAAATTGGTTGTCTTCTTCTTGCATCTATACCCATCTTTGGAATTATTATTGGTGTTAGTTATTTTTTCTTATTAGATTGGCGACATATGCAATTATTAGGTATGAATTCTATTCATTTATTGTTAATATTTCATTTTATATAGGTACATTAATCACAACTGTAACTCTTTGTTATCCATGGTAAACAATTTTCTTCTATTTCTTTCTTAATATTCATATAAACTATAGGTTAATACCGGAATCTCGTCGATGGTATGTAAATAGTCATCGTGTATCACGTGTTAATAAACTTTTACAACTATGTTCGACAAAACAATCAACATCAATAGGTTTAAATAAAGTGGGTTCACCAGCACCAACTACAGTTATTTATGATAAACCAATTGTATCACAAGAATCATTACATAATCAAACAGGTTCAATATTTTGTTTAATTATTGAACAACAATTACGTACAATAACTTGTTGTTTATTTATACTTTGGTTTGATAAAACGTTTTTTCTTATTTATTTTAATAATTAAATATTTTCTTTGAAGGTTTATTTCATCATTTTGTTATCGATGTACATTTTTTCCACCGATTTTACCACATCCAACTATAAATTATGTTTTAATGAATTCAATTGAATTTTTTTCTTTTATTATCGCCCTCATCGCTGCATATAAGTAAATTACAATTGAATAAAATACAAAAATATATCTATTTATTTTAGAATTGGACGTCGACCTCTATTAGCTGTACTTACATTAATCAGTGGTCTGTCTTCGGTTTCTTTAGCTATTACATTACTCGGAACAGGTTCATTCAAAAAATAATATATAAATTTTATTTTTATAAGTATTGATTTAATTTTAAAGGTCATATTTGGTTAGAAATAACATTTTCTCTTCTTGCTCGAAGTTGTTTACGAACTTGTTATTGTCTTCTAATTTTATTTACATCGGAACTTTATCCAACATCAGTTCGGTAAGATTCTCGAAATATATCCAAATTCTATTTCTTTATAAATCACTTTTTTTTAGAGCAACAGGTTTAGCGATTGGATTAACAGGTGAAGGAATAGCAAAAATTCTTGTAGAAATTCTTCTCTACGTATGTCTTTCTAATAAAATTAGAACGAAACAAAAAAACCTATTTTCTTATTTCTAGTTTTTCATTGATCGAACATTACTTCTATTTATATCTGGTGGTATGTTATGTTTTAGTTGTTGTTTAATATTTCCATTACCTGAAACAATTCTTTATGATCTACCTGATTCACTTACTGATTTACAATCAATGGGACGTTCAATATCAAATGCTAGTGTTGATAATATGTCACCATCACCTCAACATCGTCATATAATCGATTCAAATACAATTACACTTACACAAGATCCACGAACAAATACATCAAATCTGAATGATTTATCATCACCACCATATTCGAAACCAATTTTAAGATCATCACAACAAGCTGCAACTAATAATAATGATAAAACAGTGACAATACATTCTCAACCAGAAATTATTCAATTACAATCCAATACATCACCATTAAATGCACTTTCAAATCCTTGTTATTTTGCTTCATTAAATAATACGAATGATCAATATGATATTGAACAACATATGGATAATAAAGTCGTGATCAGTATTCGTGGAGGACAAAATAACATCAATGATAATAACAATAATAATAATAATAATAACAATAATAATAGCGAAGATTACGAAATAGAAATTACGAAATTTTAAATTCATTTTTTTATTCATTAGTGAATTAAAATTATTGTGTATAACTAAATATATGAATGTAATTGAGAATGACGAATCTATCATGTAAAAATATTGTCCACAATCTAGATCACATTAATATGATATTCTCTTTTGATCAAGGTATAAAGATTGTATGATTTTCATTATCATATAGAACATATATAAATCTCTCTCTCTTCTTTTTTGAATTACAAATTAAAAATTAATGTTCATCAAACAAGAATGAAATCCATTTAGTTAGTATTGTCTGGAAAGTAGAACATTCTGTTTTAGTCAACTATATCCTATTGCTGAATTATATTTATGAAACTAACAGAAAATATAAATAAATTGAATGTATACGTCCAACAATCAGATCTATTGATGCTTAGTGAAAAACACCCAATAGTTCAAATTATTTTCTCTCTCACAAGAGAAAGCGAGAGCAAAAAAAAAGGCGAATTCATTCAATGTTCAAAAATATCCCCAGTCATTTCTTGTTCGATTATTATCGAGTATAGAAGTATCAAACAAAACATACATATCAAGAAAGAATCATATGTGTTAGTAAGTAAAGATAGGAATATATTTTGGTTTTGTAAATCACCTTTGCTTTCGAGTTCATTCGTATTCGTTTTTATAAACTCGAACTCACAGGTGGATGTACAACCAGATTTACGACATATTTTATTTTAATATTAAACATGAATAGTAAATTTTGTTTATTTCCATAAGAGAGTGAAATTCCAATATACATTATTTTTTTTTCAATTATAAAAAATGCCATACATCTCATTTGACATAAGATATTACTACACGTATTCTATATAATTGATAACTCTGAGTGACAACTGTCATGATAGATGATGTACAAAATATAATCGAATTCATCTGTTCGAAAATACAAAAATTCCTTAACATAATACTCGATGAGTTTAACCTAGAAAGATCTTTTGTCGATTATTTATATATATAGTAAATTTAATTGATAATATATTTGTTATGTGTATTAATCATTGGAGAACTACGTAATGAAGTATTCCCTATTGTTTTTAAATCAAATTGAATCGTTTGTGTTCGATACATAGGAATGATTGAAGACGAAGGAATCAATAAACAATCACAAATATCAAATAAAATCGAAGATGATGAAGACATTAACATTTGATATGCATCGATAGTATTAGACATGACAACTAATGAAAAACTATTTATAGATAATAGAAGTCGAAGGAGAACTCCATTAGTACTGACTAAATACAGAATATTATTAGAGCTGTTGAGGTGCCCTTGTTATAAAGGCTCATTATCAGTAAAAATCGATCGGTCAGTAAGTTCACCAAGTGCCCATTTACGGAGATTTTACTGTATGATACAAGAAAATAAGTACTATTTAATGATATGATTGATATACTAGTATTCTGTAACAATAGACGTTATCCGTCATGATACTATAAACGATTATAGTGTCAATAAGTACAACTAAATCTTGGAATATGCTTGTTGACGTATATTATAGGTACATTTTGAAGTAAAATTTTGTTATATATTTGTAATAGTGAATATATATTAATGAGTCACAATAGTATGTCATGTACAGCTTGGAGCAATATGTATATATCTGACATTGTACGTGCATAAATAATTTGCTAATCACATGATAATGTATCATAGTTTAAAATTAGATTTCGTTAAACTCTCACTGAAGTTTTTTCAAATGAATTATTATTCTTATCACTAGCTAATAATTGATTAACAATATTTATTTCTGATAATGAAATAAGTTGTACTATCATACTAATATAATCAAATGAAAATACTATATCTCGTGACTATTAATACAACATCTGACTTATTTTGATACATATTATATATTTGACATGTAACCGATGAAGTAAATAATCATAACAAATAACACGTGCATCGAATAATGTAATATTGAATGAATCTGTTGCAATAGGTATAATTGGATAATACTAAATATTATATGACAATATGATTCCCATGAGAAGAAACACTATTAATAATAGTCAACAAATGAACTCTTCTTTGGATACATTTTTTACATTTCTTGATGTACCCCAACATGACAAACTAATAATATGATATTCTGATCTATATTCCAATTGATTAAAATGAAAGAAGAGAATGAAAGTTATCCTATTTATTTTTGGTTTTCATATTAAATTTATTTTTATGCATTTGTAATTATTATTTATTTCAATTTCATATGCATAATAAAAAGAAAGAGAGAGAGAAGAAAATTACAATTATAAAATGAAAAAACTAAACGAAACCAATTCACACACACACACGTACGTACGCATGCACTAGAAAAAAACAAATATATTTACAATTTTCGAAAATCAAAACGTAATAAACGTGTATAAGTTTTTTTAAATTGTCGATTAGCAAGTGCATAACATAATGGATTAATTGGACTATTTAAGTAGCAAAGATAATAGCAAGCATGAAACAAATATGTGTTAAACACGATACTTTCGCGACATGATTTACAAAATGTTTGAATTATTGTATGAATGTGCCACTAAAACACAAAATAAAAACCAATCTATTTATTTATAGACATTACATAGGTTTATAAACTTGTTTTTCCTCTAGAATTATACATGTAAATGTCAATAAAAACTA